AAGGTCGACTCATTGTACAAGGTCGACTCATTGTACAAGGTCGACTCATTGTACAAGGTCGACTCATTGTACAAGGTCGACTCATTGTACAAGGTCGACTCATTGTACAAGGTCGACTCATTGTACAAGGTCGACTCATTGTACAAGGTCGACTCATTGTACAAGGTCGACTCATTGTACAAGGTCGACTCATTGTACAAGGTCGACTCATTGTACAAGGTCGACTCATTGTACAAGGTCGACTCATTGTACAAGGTCGACTCATTGTACAAGGTCGACTCATTGTACAAGGTCGACTCATTGTACAAGGTCGACTCATTGTACAAGGTCGACTCATTGTACAAGGTCGACTCATTGTACAAGGTCGACTCATTGTACAAGGTCGACTCATTGTACAAGGTCGACTCATTGTACAAGGTCGACTCATTGTACAAGGTCGACTCATTGTACAAGGTCGACTCATTGTACAAGGTCGACTCATTGTACAAGGTCGACTCATTGTACAAGGTCGACTCATTGTACAAGGTCGACTCATTGTACAAGGTCGACTCATTGTACAAGGTCGACTCATTGTACAAGGTCGACTCATTGTACAAGGTCGACTCATTGTACAAGGTCGACTCATTGTACAAGGTCGACTCATTGTACAAGGTCGACTCATTGTACAAGGTCGACTCATTGTACAAGGTCGACTCATTGTACAAGGTCGACTCATTGTACAAGGTCGACTCATTGTACAAGGTCGACTCATTGTACAAGGTCGACTCATTGTACAAGGTCGACTCATTGTACAAGGTCGACTCATTGTACAAGGTCGACTCATTGTACAAGGTCGACTCATTGTACAAGGTCGACTCATTGTACAAGGTCGACTCATTGTACAAGGTCGACTCATTGTACAAGGTCGACTCATTGTACAAGGTCGACTCATTGTACAAGGTCGACTCATTGTACAAGGTCGACTCATTGTACAAGGTCGACTCATTGTACAAGGTCGACTCATTGTACAAGGTCGACTCATTGTACAAGGTCGACTCATTGTACAAGGTCGACTCATTGTACAAGGTCGACTCATTGTACAAGGTCGACTCATTGTACAAGGTCGACTCATTGTACAAGGTCGACTCATTGTACAAGGTCGACTCATTGTACAAGGTCGACTCATTGTACAAGGTCGACTCATTGTACAAGGTCGACTCATTGTACAAGGTCGACTCATTGTACAAGGTCGACTCATTGTACAAGGTCGACTCATTGTACAAGGTCGACTCATTGTACAAGGTCGACTCATTGTACAAGGTCGACTCATTGTACAAGGTCGACTCATTGTACAAGGTCGACTCATTGTACAAGGTCGACTCATTGTACAAGGTCGACTCATTGTACAAGGTCGACTCATTGTACAAGGTCGACTCATTGTACAAGGTCGACTCATTGTACAAGGTCGACTCATTGTACAAGGTCGACTCATTGTACAAGGTCGACTCATTGTACAAGGTCGACTCATTGTACAAGGTCGACTCATTGTACAAGGTCGACTCATTGTACAAGGTCGACTCATTGTACAAGGTCGACTCATTGTACAAGGTCGACTCATTGTACAAGGTCGACTCATTGTACAAGGTCGACTCATTGTACAAGGTCGACTCATTGTACAAGGTCGACTCATTGTACAAGGTCGACTCATTGTACAAGGTCGACTCATTGTACAAGGTCGACTCATTGTACAAGGTCGACTCATTGTACAAGGTCGACTCATTGTACAAGGTCGACTCATTGTACAAGGTCGACTCATTGTACAAGGTCGACTCATTGTACAAGGTCGACTCATTGTACAAGGTCGACTCATTGTACAAGGTCGACTCATTGTACAAGGTCGACTCATTGTACAAGGTCGACTCATTGTACAAGGTCGACTCATTGTACAAGGTCGACTCATTGTACAAGGTCGACTCATTGTACAAGGTCGACTCATTGTACAAGGTCGACTCATTGTACAAGGTCGACTCATTGTACAAGGTCGACTCATTGTACAAGGTCGACTCATTGTACAAGGTCGACTCATTGTACAAGGTCGACTCATTGTACAAGGTCGACTCATTGTACAAGGTCGACTCATTGTACAAGGTCGACTCATTGTACAAGGTCGACTCATTGTACAAGGTCGACTCATTGTACAAGGTCGACTCATTGTACAAGGTCGACTCATTGTACAAGGTCGACTCATTGTACAAGGTCGACTCATTGTACAAGGTCGACTCATTGTACAAGGTCGACTCATTGTACAAGGTCGACTCATTGTACAAGGTCGACTCATTGTACAAGGTCGACTCATTGTACAAGGTCGACTCATTGTACAAGGTCGACTCATTGTACAAGGTCGACTCATTGTACAAGGTCGACTCATTGTACAAGGTCGACTCATTGTACAAGGTCGACTCATTGTACAAGGTCGACTCATTGTACAAGGTCGACTCATTGTACAAGGTCGACTCATTGTACAAGGTCGACTCATTGTACAAGGTCGACTCATTGTACAAGGTCGACTCATTGTACAAGGTCGACTCATTGTACAAGGTCGACTCATTGTACAAGGTCGACTCATTGTACAAGGTCGACTCATTGTACAAGGTCGACTCATTGTACAAGGTCGACTCATTGTACAAGGTCGACTCATTGTACAAGGTCGACTCATTGTACAAGGTCGACTCATTGTACAAGGTCGACTCATTGTACAAGGTCGACTCATTGTACAAGGTCGACTCATTGTACAAGGTCGACTCATTGTACAAGGTCGACTCATTGTACAAGGTCGACTCATTGTACAAGGTCGACTCATTGTACAAGGTCGACTCATTGTACAAGGTCGACTCATTGTACAAGGTCGACTCATTGTACAAGGTCGACTCATTGTACAAGGTCGACTCATTGTACAAGGTCGACTCATTGTACAAGGTCGACTCATTGTACAAGGTCGACTCATTGTACAAGGTCGACTCATTGTACAAGGTCGACTCATTGTACAAGGTCGACTCATTGTACAAGGTCGACTCATTGTACAAGGTCGACTCATTGTACAAGGTCGACTCATTGTACAAGGTCGACTCATTGTACAAGGTCGACTCATTGTACAAGGTCGACTCATTGTACAAGGTCGACTCATTGTACAAGGTCGACTCATTGTACAAGGTCGACTCATTGTACAAGGTCGACTCATTGTACAAGGTCGACTCATTGTACAAGGTCGACTCATTGTACAAGGTCGACTCATTGTACAAGGTCGACTCATTGTACAAGGTCGACTCATTGTACAAGGTCGACTCATTGTACAAGGTCGACTCATTGTACAAGGTCGACTCATTGTACAAGGTCGACTCATTGTACAAGGTCGACTCATTGTACAAGGTCGACTCATTGTACAAGGTCGACTCATTGTACAAGGTCGACTCATTGTACAAGGTCGACTCATTGTACAAGGTCGACTCATTGTACAAGGTCGACTCATTGTACAAGGTCGACTCATTGTACAAGGTCGACTCATTGTACAAGGTCGACTCATTGTACAAGGTCGACTCATTGTACAAGGTCGACTCATTGTACAAGGTCGACTCATTGTACAAGGTCGACTCATTGTACAAGGTCGACTCATTGTACAAGGTCGACTCATTGTACAAGGTCGACTCATTGTACAAGGTCGACTCATTGTACAAGGTCGACTCATTGTACAAGGTCGACTCATTGTACAAGGTCGACTCATTGTACAAGGTCGACTCATTGTACAAGGTCGACTCATTGTACAAGGTCGACTCATTGTACAAGGTCGACTCATTGTACAAGGTCGACTCATTGTACAAGGTCGACTCATTGTACAAGGTCGACTCATTGTACAAGGTCGACTCATTGTACAAGGTCGACTCATTGTACAAGGTCGACTCATTGTACAAGGTCGACTCATTGTACAAGGTCGACTCATTGTACAAGGTCGACTCATTGTACAAGGTCGACTCATTGTACAAGGTCGACTCATTGTACAAGGTCGACTCATTGTACAAGGTCGACTCATTGTACAAGGTCGACTCATTGTACAAGGTCGACTCATTGTACAAGGTCGACTCATTGTACAAGGTCGACTCATTGTACAAGGTCGACTCATTGTACAAGGTCGACTCATTGTACAAGGTCGACTCATTGTACAAGGTCGACTCATTGTACAAGGTCGACTCATTGTACAAGGTCGACTCATTGTACAAGGTCGACTCATTGTACAAGGTCGACTCATTGTACAAGGTCGACTCATTGTACAAGGTCGACTCATTGTACAAGGTCGACTCATTGTACAAGGTCGACTCCATTGTACAAGGTCGACTCATTGTACAAGGTCGACTCATTGTACGAAGGTCGACTCATTGTACAAGGTCGACTCATTGTACAAGGTCTGTACTCGACTCATTGTACAAGGTCGGACTCATTGTACAAGGTCGACTTCATTGTACAAGGTCGACTCATTGTACAAGGTCGACTCATTGTACAAGGTCGACTCATTGTACAAGGTCGACTCATTGTACAAGGTCGACTCATTGTACAAGGTCGACTCATTGTACAAGGTCGACTCATTGTACAAGGTCACTCATTGTACAGGTCGACTCATTGTAACATCAGGTCGACTCATTGGTTACAAGGTCGACTCATTGTACAAGGTCGACTCATTGTACAAGGTCGACTCATTGTACAAGGTCGACTCATTGTACAAGGTCGACTCATTGTACAAGGTCGACTCATTGTACAAGGTCGACTCATTGTACAAGGTCGACTCATTGTACAAGGTCGACTCATTGTACAAGGTCGACTCATTGTACAAGGTCGACTCATTGTACAAGGTCGACTCATTGTACAAGGTCGACTCATTGTACAAGGTCTGAGATGACGCACCTTCACCAACCACTCGCTCACCCTTCCGTTCAACCCCCCCCCCCCTCCCCCCCGCTTTCGTTCCATCCCAGACCCACCTTTTCAACTGACGACATCAACCTAGACAAGCACAAATTCGAGCGCTTTCTGCACCCGGGAAGGTTCGCGGTGGCTTCCATATTCGCCCCGACGCTCTTCCCGCCCCTCCCCCTCTTGGTTTTCGCCGACCCGTCTGCTGCGTCCAATCAGCATGCAGAAGAGGGTGTGGGAGGAGGGAGTGTGGGAGGGAGTGTAGTAGGAGGGAGTGTGGTGGGGGAAGGGGAGGAGCTACAGCTGGCAGCGACGGGGGCTTTAAGAGGGCCGGACCCCGATCGGATCATTCTGAAGAAGATTGTTTTGTCCGGGTGAGTTGAAGAAGGAGATTAGCTTTAAGTGAGCTGGTTGAAGGGGCAAGTGGGCTTTGGATGTGTTCCTCAGTTGGGCTTTAAAGCCCCATTCTCATAATTCAAGGTAGTGACCAAGTGTCAAATGTTTGGCACCTAGTTACGCTGGCGAAAGTGAAGTGACAGGCTTGGAAATGCCTCGGACAGTGTGATGTGCTAGGGGGGAAGAGACCAACCGTAAAACCAGTTCTGCAATATGAGAATCCGCAAGTTCACGGAAGAACGGTGCTGTTGCACCATCAGATCATTAACAGCCTGTGATCTGACAGTCGATTGACTGAGCGTTCGAATCGATGGCTATAAGCGAAGTACAAAATTGTTGGGCGAAAAAATTGGAGTTTGCACCGCCCGATGTTCCAAACCTGCCACACCCCATACTTTCCCAGACCTGTTTCTTGGTTTGGAGTTTTTTGTCGAAACATTAAGGCATCGTTTTCGTAAATTTGTTTACAGCTCGCTTGCCAATCAGTGCCTGTCTGTCTCAACCAAGTGTAAAACTCTAGTAATTATGAGATTGGGGCTTTAAGAGGGCCGGACCCCGATCAAGGTCAAACTCTTATCAAGACGCACATCTCTTTCTCTTTCTCTTTCTCCCACTCCCCCTCTGAATCCCACATCTCCCTCTTTCCCCCTCTCCCTCTCTCCCTCTCTCCCCCTCTTATGCACAGCTACCCCGTGTCAGTGATGAAGCGCAAGGCAGTGGTGCGCTACATGTTCCACCAGCCAGAGGACGGCAGGTGGTTCCAGGTCAGTGCCACGTCAGACGGTTTCAGGTCAGTGCCACGTCAGACGGTTTCAGGTCAGTGCCACGTCAGACGGTTTCAGGTCAGTGCCTTGTCAGACGGTTTCAGGTCAGTGCCACGTCAGACGGTTTCAGGTCAGTGCCTCGTCAGACGGTTTCAGGTCAGTGCCACGTCAGACGGTTTCAGGTCAGTGCCACGTCAGACGGTTTCAGGTCAGTGCCTCGTCAGACGGTGTCAGGTCAGTGCCACGTCAGACGGTTTCAGGTCAGTGCCACGTCAGACGGTTTCAGGTCAGTGCCACGTCAGACGGTTTCAGGTCAGTGCCTCGTTCTTTCCCCTCTCTCCTCCTCCGACCCTCTCCCTAAGCACCATTAGCACCATGCGCTCCCTGCCAGCCTGGGGAGCTATTCTCCCGATACGGTGGTGCGGGGGGCGCATCAACAAATGCCACGCCATGCACCACGCCCACGTTTTCTCCCCTCCCCTCCCTCTCCCAACTCTTTCCTCTCCCCTCTCTCCACTCTCTCCCACATCTCTCCTTGCTGCCAGCCTGTGGAGCTGTTTACCAAGTACGATCGGAGGGGCCGCATTAACATTCACACGATAGCACATGCCATGCATGCACCACTCTCATCTCGTTTTCCGCCTCTCACCTCTTCATCTCCCCTCTCCTGCCAGCCTGTGGAGCTCTTTACCAAGTATGGCCGGAGGGGCCGCATTCGAGAGCCAGTGGGCACCAAGGGTGAGTGTGTGGTGAGGGATGACATTGTCGCAATGAATGCTCGAGTTGTGTGCCTTTCCCACACTTATCAACTGCCGCTTAAAAGCCACTCTTTTCCATTGTGTCCGAGCCATCCCATGCCTGTGCAATTTACTCACCCCACACGTTCTGCTGTGTGCACAAGCAGGTGCAGGTGTAATCACGTGTGTCTTCAATGGTGTGGAGTGGAGCAGTGCAGCAACGCTATGGCAGTTTCACTAATTCCTTCCCTGTCTCACTCGTGCTTTCATCCCAGTGTCAAACGTAAGCAGGTGTCATCGTGTGTGTGCTCATCGGGTCTATTTTGAGTCGACTCAAAATCCATCTGCACAAGCTGACACAGTGTGTGCTCATCGGGTCTGTGGTGGGCTGCTGCAGCGCAGCAACACTTTCATGGTTCCACTATTCTTTTCCCTGTTTTTCTCCCCCTCTTGTCCAAATGTTGCATGCGAGCAGGTGCAATCAAGCGTGTGTGACAGAAATGTGCAGCAGCGCGACGCTGTCGCGTTTACTGTAGAGGCACCGCAGCCATCATCCCTCTTGTCACTCATACTTTTTCCTTTCCTGTTCGTCCCAATGTCGCATGCAACCAGGTGCCATCAAGTGTGTGTTTGACGGGGTGGTGCAGCAGCGCGACGCCGTCTGCATGGCTCTCTACAAGCGGGTCTACCCCAAGTTTCCCGTGCTGCCAACGTCTTAAGTGGGGTGGCTGAGGCTCCCAGGGGCCTTCCTCCTCACTCATTGGAGAAGATGGAAAGAGCAGCAGTGCAGCTCTGTCTGCATGGCTCTCTACAAGCCAGTCTACCCCAAGCTGTTGTCTCTTTTTCGGCCAGGCCCGACTCTTCTGCTTTCATTGTGCCATATGCTCTTCTGTTCAAGAGCAATCAAGGGTGTGTTTGATTGGGTGGAGTGGTGCAAGAGTGCAACGCGATTTGCATGGCCCTCTACAAGCGAGTCTACCCCATGTTCCCAGTGTTGCAGCGTGTAGCGGGCAGGGGTAGGGCCATGATAACAGATGCACAGTTGGCGCAATCGCTATCGTAGCTGGGCGAGTTAATAATTCTAACTCTTGGCCAACCGCTGAGCATCCCAACAGGGTCAATCACTACAGCATCCCAACAGGGTCATTCACTACAGCATCCCAACAGGGTCAATCACTACAGCATCCCAACAGGGTCAATCACTACAGCATCCCAACAGGGTCATTCATCTACCTGGAAAGCGAGATGAACCAGGAAGGTAGGTAGGCTTGGATACCAGGTGTTATCTGTTGTGATATAATTGGTACTTAGCATTTCTGTAAGTCGATTAAGTGTAGTTAGTGTCGAATCTTACTGTAGAACATAATGTTAACGTAGAAACGAATGATTTACTAGAGGTGGAAACCTAGAACAAATACTAGTTGGTTGTACTCACTAGAAGCATACCTCAGTCTAGCCTATAACTTCTACATAGATAATATGTATAAGTTGACACACCCCCTAGGCTAGACAAGGGGTGAAACTAAACAAGAAGCAAACAGCTCAGGGCGGCACTACTAGTCCAACCACTGAGGCAGGGGTCTGGAGACCAGTCAGCAAGAATACAACCAAAACTGAAGCAAGCCAGGGTGGCACTACTAGTCCAGCCACTGGAGGTAAGGCCACAAGGCCAGTCTGACAAGCATATATAATAGAGAGTACACAATCAGGATCCTAACAGGGGAGCAGCTATAGGAACAAGACCAAGCTGTACACAGTGCCGCTGATGATCTTTAGGCGCAAGCGCCTTAGTAAAGATATCAGCTGTGTTGGCACCTGAGGCCAAGTGAACTACGCGGGCCTGGCGGCGCTGCTGTAGCTCGCGCAGGAGGAAGTACCGCAGCTGGATATGCTTCGCTCTGCCCTCAAGCCGAGGCTCCTGACACAGGAGTATCATGGCCCTGTTGTCAGCGTACAGGACCGGGGCAGAGCTAGGCCGCTCACCTAAGTCTGTGAGCAAGAAGGTCAGCCAGCGGAGCTCCTGTGCCGCCATGGCACCAGCGTAGATCTCAGCCTCACAGCTAGACTGAGCCACAGACGACGAGCGAGTGGATCTCCAAGAGATAGCACCCGAACCAAGGCTGAAACAGTAGCCCTGCGACGACCTGAGCGTCTCAGCGTCGTCTGCCCAAGAAGCGTCTGTGTGCCCAGTAAGGACCACTGGCCTGCGTCCTCCTAGCACTAACCCCATGCCTGATGTACTAGCAAGATAACGCAAAACCCTCTTAGCGGCAGACCAGTGCTGAGGTCGGTGTCTGCCTGTAGCCACAAAGCGAGCCAGGATGCTGAGAGGGTATGCGAGATCTGGGCGAGTGCAAGTCATCAGGTACATGAGGCAACCCACCAGCTCTGCGTAGGGGCCACTGGGCTCTACTGGCTCCTCAGGAACGGGAGCAGAGAGCCCATGGTCTACGGGTAGAGGTGTGGGCTGTGCGGAGGAGAACTGAAGACCGAACCTCTGAAGGACCTGACGCACCAAGTGTGACTGGGTCAGAGTGATGGTGCGTGCTGCTCTGTCCCTAGAGATCTGCAGGCCAAGATAGCGACGCAGCTCTCCAAGGTCAGTGCAGGTGTGTCTCTTCAGCAGCTCAGCCTTCACAGAGGCCAGTGCGTCCCTGTCAGGAGTAGCGAAGACCAGGTCGTCTACGTAGACAAGGATGTAGAACGGAGTCTGGCCGGAACGCACAAACAGTGAAGGGTCAGCAGAGGACGGAAAGAACTGCAGGTCTGCTAACGTGGCACGTAGCGTGTCGTGCCACTCGCGGGGAGCCTGACGCAGGCCGTAGACCGGGCGCCTGAGAAGCCACTGGGTCCCAGGAGGGAAGGTACCAGTGAAGCCCTGTGGTCGGCGCAGGTAGACCTGCTCGTGTAGGCTGCCCTGAAGAAAGGCAGTAGAGAAGTCGAGAGAGTGAAGCTCGTAGTCACGCTGTGCTGCTACGTGTAGCAGCGCCCGAAGAGTGGTCATCTTCGGGGTCGGGGCGAAGGTCTGGAAGAAGTCAACCCCCTCGCGCTGACTGAAACCTCTGGCCACGTAGCGCGCCTTGAAGACAGGCGGCTCTCCAGGGGGGCGCTTCACCTTGAAGAGCCACCGACCATCGACTACGTTCACCCCAGGCGGGGGAACTGCGTCGACGTAAGTGCCGGTGGATCTCCAAGATGCCATCTCCTGCTCCATGGCAGCTATCCACTGAGAGGCCCAAGGTCCCGAGGTGGCCTCAGCGTAGGTGCGAGGGGTCGGGATGTCGAAGGCGTCTGGGTCACCCTCAGGGACTAACAGCATGGAGCAGAGATGGGGAGCAGCCTCGGAAAGGAAAGCCAGCTCGTACTGCCTGTCCTCTAGGACGTCACTGCCAAGGGCAGGAGCACCCCCGACGGACAGAGGACGGGCAGGGTCAGAGACCAGAGCGGTAGCGTAGTCAAGGCGGCGGGTAGAAGCGAAGTCAGCGACAGCAGCGACAAGCGCGTCAAGGCGCGAGACAGGAACAGCAGGGTCGGTAACAAGAGAGGCAAGGACCCGAGGGACAAGGGGACGAGCAGCACGGAGGTAGTCAGAGAACGGAGGAGGTGCAACAGCAAGGGACGAGGGAGGAGGGGACGGGAGGAGGGGAGGACGAGACGAGTGGGAACGGAGCAACATAGGGTGGGTGGGCAGGACAGGAGAGACGGGACGAGCACGGGAGGGACGGCGAGCCCAAACGTGAGACGGAGGGGTAGGGTCAGGGGACAGCGGAGGAGACACAGGAGGGGAACGAGGAGGAAGACGGGCCGGAGACGAGTCTGGCGGCGGGAACACAGGACCGTAGACAGGGAGGTCAGGAGGCGGTGGGGGAGACACCGGCGCGCGGTCCGGGGAGGGAAGGCCGAGCAGGCGGAGAGCGGAAACCGGCGGCGACGGCTGCTGTGGCGGCGACGACGGCTGGGCCGGAACTCTCGGACCAGCAGAGGCAGAACGACCGTCGGCAGAACACTCAACAGCAGCACCCCCAGAACCAACACCCCAAGAGCGAGAACCCCCTCCAACACCAGCGGCACCCCCAGAAGCCGCAGGACGAACACCCTCCTCCACACCAGCACCCCCAGGGGCCGAGAGCAGCGGCGGCAGTGGCGGCGACAGCGGCGACGGCTGCGGCGGCGACGGCGACGGCGGCGGCAGCGGGGTCGGCGACTGCGACAGTGGGGGCGGAGGCACTGGGGAAGGGGGACGCGGCAAGGACGGACCGGGGGTACCACCAGAGTCAGCAGACTCCTCAACGGGGACAACCGACGGGAGGGGAGTGACGTGGGAGACACCAGACGGGGCAGGACGAGGCGGGAGAGGGGCAGGGGCTACCGGGGGAGAGGGAGCAAGGAAAAGGGGGGGGGCAACTGGGAGACCTCGGTGAGGGAAGCGGCGGTAGAAGGAGACGGACTCGTCAAAGGTGACGTCACGAGAGTGGAGGAAGCGGTGAGACGGCGGGTGGTAGAAAAGCCAGTCAGACGAGTCCAGGGGGAAACCGAGGAAGACACAGGGGACAGTGCGGGCAGTGAGCTTGTCCGTGCCAGAGGCACGAACGTGAGCAAGGCAGCCCCAGACGTGGAACGCAGACGCGTCACCGGGGGACCCGGTCCAAAGGAGGGTCGGCGAAACCTGCGGCCGCTGGGAGCGTGGCCACAGGTTAAGCTGGTGAGCCGCGTAGCGAACAGCGAACGGCCACAGAAAATGGGGGGCATCGGCATGGATCATGGAGGTACGGGCGACCTCCATGACCAAGCCGATGCGGCGCTCAGCAACCCCATTCTGCTGTGGCGAGTCCGGCAACGTGTACGACTGGGTGATGCCCTCCGCACGACAGAACTGTCCAAGCCGACCAGAGGCGAACTCGCCGCCACGGTCGGAGTGGAGACACAACACGGGGAGACCGCGGTGGAGACGCGCAGCTACAACCCACGGGAGAAGAACGTCGGGCACGTCGGCCTTCCGCTCCAGGGGAAACACCGTGGTGTAGCGCGTGTAGTCGTCAACGAGCACAAGGAAGTAGCGCTCACCGCGCGGTCCGGGGACGGGGGCAGGGCCCCAAACGTCCAAGTGCAGGGTCTGAAGGGGGGCAGTAGCAGGACGCAGCGAGGAGGAGTGAGGAGCACGGCGGAGCCGACCCTCGACGCAAGGCGTGCACGGTGGCGCAGTCGAGGGAGGAAGGGCAGGGAGCGACGCGGGGAGACCTAAGACAAGACCGTGCTGGGACATGTGACGCAGACGCGGGAGAGCAGGGTGACCTAAGCGGTGGTGCCAGAGAAGGGAGGGGTGAGTGAGGGACCGACACGAGCAAGCTGCAGCGACCTGGGAGGACGCACCAACCGGGGGGGAAGCGGTGTGTAGGGTAAACAGACCGGACACCGGGTCCCGGGGGAACGTCGCAAGGGGGGAACCGGAGACAGCCTCAGAACAGACAGCGAACCGCTCGTGCCCGGGGAACGTGGTGGTGACGCCGAGGTCCTGGAGACAGCCGACACCAACCAGGTTCCTGGAGAACGAGGGAACGTGGAGGCCAGTAAGGGAGCCCGAGGGAACTGCCGGACAGGGAAGGGACGTAGAACTGCGCGCGACGACCGGACCCGCAGAGGGGTCAGCGAGAGAGACAACAGCAGGTGCAGCAAGCGGCGTGAGCGTGGAACGGTCGCGGAAGAAGCAGGCAGAAGCACCAGAGTCAAGAGTGAAGGACAGCGACGCAGTGGCGGAGGCCGCGGACGGAGCCGGTGCAGCGACTAGACTAGGCAACCTAGGCAGTCCTACGCCTGTCGCAGCAGGGGAAGCTAAGCTACACAAGGGTGAAACACCTAAACTAGAGTACACATGGTAGTAAGATCCATCAACACTAGAAGCGTCAGCATACAAAGCATGCAAAGCAGCACCTATCTGATCCATGTCTAACTCAAAGATCGGCACGCCCTGGCGGAGCAGGCTGTGCCAGTCAGGGAGGTCCGGGGCCGGGCCAAAGCGACGACGAAAAAGATCGTCGAGGCGGCGGAAACAGTGGGCGGTCGGGTGCGGGCGGCGGCACAGAGTGCCGCGGAGAGGCCCGGTCTGAAGCTGGTACTGGCAGGTCACAGCACTGGAGCCGCTGGTAGACGCCAAGCTGCGCGGGCCGCCACCACGGCCACCGCCTCCGGAGGTGCCGGGCCAACCAGGCGGGAGACGAGCCCACGGCTGCGGCGGGTGCTGCTGGGACGGCGGCTGCGGCTGGGGCTGGTCCTGCTGCTGCTGGGACTGCTGCTCCTGCCCACCGGTGGTAGTCCCCTCAGGCGGACTACCGTCACCACCACCACGACCACTACCACCTGCGTCACCACCCCTACCTCCCTGGCGGCCACGGCCACCGCGACGCGAGCGCTGCTGCG